CAAATTATTATTTAAATTACATCGAGATCAGTAAATATACGAATGCCTATTATTATTATTACATATTTTATTTAATTAATACAATTAATTAATTGATTAATTGTAGCTGCATCACTAATCAATTCATAATTAATTATTCAGTAGGACTCTAACTATATGAAGTTTCCGTAGCCGACTTATTAAAACCCAAACACAAGATAGGAGCTCATAATAATCAAGCTGAAGTTTCTGTAACTGATCTATTAAAATATAAGAGAGTAGCAAATGAAACTTCTCTAGCTGATCTATTAAAACATAAGAAGATGGCAAATGAAGCTTCTCTATTAAAACCTAAACATAAAAAAAAGGCAGGCAAAACTTCTGTAGCTAGTTTATTAAAATCTAAACACAAAAAAATGGATGATAAACTTTCTGTAACTGATCTACTAAAAAAGCTTAATAAGTGGTGTGTGTATATATGTAATTGTAATCAATGCAATGGTGTAGAAGTTGATCCCCATACTCAAAAAGCTCATGCAGAAGATAAATGTTTGTGGAGTTCAAGTAAAGCACAAAAAAGGTAACAGTAAGTTGTTGCAGCAAGACACCCAAAAATTTATGAAACTCACTCTATTACCAACAAAAAGCAGTCTTAAAGTATATCACCTGATAAGAACACCGCAGGCTATATTAATAACGATAATGATCATACTATGCCTTACGATGATAGTGGGTCTTATGATAATATCGATATTGCACCTTATGATAATGCAATTCATACTATGTTAAATGAAGATGCTGGACAAAATATATCATCAGATTCAATTAAAAATTTATTAATCTTTAGACCTAGAACTGTATATTTTCATACTCTGAAAATATTCAAGTACCTGATATATATAGTAACGAAAATGCAGATAATAGTAATAATAAACCAGGCAGTGAAGATGAATCAATTTCCGATAATTTTTCTGAAGATGAAGATTGGGAACTAGAACAAGATATAGTTCAAAACGAAGAATTATTTAAATCACCTGAAATTGATAATGACGAATCTTTTATTATAAATGATTTAAATGATTCTTTGGATACAGAGATTATATTGTGGTTATTTAAATTTCAACAAAGATATCGGATAGCGGATGTAGCACTTGAATCGTTAATAAAATTTTTACAAAAAATTCTTACGTATATTGATAAATCACAATTTAGAAATTTTCCTATCTCACTATATATGGCAAAAAAATTTTTAGGAATTTTTCAGCCAAAGATGCACATGGCCGTATGTACTAGCTGCCATAAGTTATACAGTGCTAAAGATATTATTTCACATAAAGAAAATGAAAAGGCTGCAGTAATAAATTGTCAGCATGAAGAATATCCAAGCAAC